GCAAGTTTGACAGAAATGTATCTTCAGTATAAAAATTATAAATGTTTATTGTAACGTAACACCACCTGTTGACAATTATCAACATAGCGATGCATAATACGAAAATGCTTCTTTGGCACTCAGACAACATTTGGCACCAGGTCCCCTGGTTTTACTGCACTCACCCACAAGATGTTACAAAACACAATGAAGGCAGTTTTATCACAGGCCGATGCTTTTTCAGGCACTTGCACCACATGGGAGGTATTTATATGTACACTTGTATATAATACTTATATGGGACATGAACAGTGTTTTCATGCAACATTACTTTGAATTAACACTGACAAAACTAAGGCATGCTAACTTTCAATGCAAAGCACTTTTGCATGGCCGAGTTTTCTTTATCAATGAAACACTTCAGAAAATATGCTGGCTAATTCTGCACACAATAATATTAAGTAGATTTGCGTCCATTCCATAACCTTCTTGCAGTTACAAAAGAGTAAAAGCTAAAAAAAGTAAAAAAGGCAAAGCTTATTTTCTGTGCACCTCTTATACAGGCTACCTTTAAAGATAAAGAGGTGCACAAAAAATGTAAGGATTATACAATTTATGTGGAAAGGTATGTTTTTCCTCTGGATCTTGATTTCCAATTTTAATCTATCTTGACGAAAACAAAATCTGCAGTAAATGGGAAGCCAAGCGAGCCAGTGCTTAGTAGAGCTCCTTTCCTCAACCATTCATTTCTTTTTTTTTTTTCTCCTGCAGTCTATATACAAAAAAACAGTGCTCTGTTTGCAAGCATCCTTCAGCACTTTACCAAAATCACAATATGAAGAAATCGGGAGAACTACTCAGAACTAGCAAAGTTTTTACTGTTAGGATTTAAAATTGAATACATACCATTGTCTGCTGTTTTTTTTTCTAGTGAGATGTAAAACTTATATGTGTAGTATTTAAAATACCCTCAAATTTAGATAAATAATACATGCCAACAGTTCAAAGCCGTCATACCCCAACTCTAAGAATGAAGACTAACAAAAAGAATATAAAAGAGGCAAATCATCACAACACAGAACAACACGTCACTAATTGCTGGCCAAAAAGATTCTCACCACAACAGCCATCTCTCACTATAAAAACACATAAACTAGAGCTAAAACCATGTAATACTCCTAAAGCAATGCTCGAATGCACAAAGCAGTACCACACTAAAAAGGGCCAAGTGGCTACCAGCACACTTGGTAAATAGCAGCAAACGTTTAACGTACACTTAGTGATTGGTATGTCAGATTAAATATAAAAATCTGGTACGTGTCCCCTTAATAATTTTCATTATTTCAATGCCTTTATTCAACTTTCATCTGCTTTTTGGCCATTGGTAGCTTTGGTTTGATATGACAAAGTGGTCACATATCCTGCTAACCAGGTGCGGTCAGTTTTGATATCGCCCTTAAAATTCGATAATGTATGACTCAAATTACACAAAACTTTTGTGATTCCTCAAACATCGGTACTCCATAAAAGCGAGACTCCCAACAAGTTCCCCACATAAACAAGTGCCCTCAGGTCAATAACCCAAAGTTAATTAAGTTTTTGCTCATTAGTTACTTTATTGTCATTTTAACAGTGGCAAGGTATTTCCACCTTGATGTAGAGTTCGTGTGTACGGCAACAGAAGCTCAACTGTCATAGCATTCTTTTAATATATCTGCAATGTCAAAAAAAAAAAGACCACTGCTTATTTCGATTTCATTCCGTGCATTCTTAGGTAAGAAAAAAAAAAAGCTCATACTGACGAACCACACCATCTTCACCCTCAAAAAAAGTGTAACGACAGATCTGTAATCACATAGCGCTGCTCATGCGCCCAATGTGAGAGCATATACAACAACACTAAACGTAACACAGAGCATTGTGGCTTTTTTTTTTCTAACTTTCCCAACACAAACTGCTACTTTAAATTTTACTCTGAGTGATGTTACTAGCATCAACCAGCATTGAAACCAGTGCAGCTACTTTCTTTAGTTCTGGCAACGATACTTAAGTCTAGTTCTCCTGGTTTTGTTTGTAACACGCTTGTATTAGGCTTTGCAATGCTCCGCATTACTACTGGCTGCATCTACATGACAATGAGTCGGAAAAAATTCGTTCCACTTCACTTTTTTAAATATGGCAGGATGGATAATAATCATTTAACAATCATATGAAGCCAAGAGAGAGAAACCAGGCTCCTTGATTGCCCTTCTTATCTATTGGATTGGATAAACTTTTATTTGGTCCTCCAAAACACAGATCACTGTGTTGCGGGCAGCTCCCACGTGGGGACTGAGATGCCAAGCTCCTCAGCCGCCTCGCGGGCTTGGTGGACAGTCCAGAGCTGATCTGCCAAGGACGAGCTGCGGATTGCCGCCTCCCATCTGGCAGAGGTGATGTGCGATAAATGAGCGAATTTGGTGCACTGCCAGAGCATGTGTTCTAATGAAGCTATTTCCCCACAATGTGGACAAAGATTACTTGGGTATAGGTCAGGGTACATGATGTGTAACATTTTCAAAGTAGGGTACATCCGCGTTTGCAAAAGCCTTAATGTAAGTGTTTGGGGCCGGGTTAGATTTCTGTGAGGTGGAGGGAAAATCCTTCTAGACAGGTAGAAATGTTTAGTGAGCTCGTTATATGTTGTAAGAATTTCCCGGTTATCCCCTTCACCGGTAGAATGCATTCCCGGGGAGGCGCGGTTAGAGAGTTCTCGCGCCGCCTCGTGTGCTGCTTCATTGAGATTGGGAGGGGAATCGTTGATTTGCCCAAGGTGAGCTGGGAACCAACTCAGAAGATGATGCGTTATGTTCTTGCCTTGCAGTATTCTCAGCGTTTGTTCAGAGACCGTCCCCTTGGCGAACGCCCGTAGTGCTGCCATGGAATCACTGTAGACGACTTCAATGTTATCGATCTTGAGTGCTAAGGCGATGGCCACCTGTTCCGCAATGATTGGGTCTTTCGTCCTGACCGTCACTGAGTTGACGACATGGCCAGCCCCATCGACCACCACTGCCACAAACGCTTTCCCGTTGGCGTAGGAAGCCGCGTCAACAAATACGACCCCTCGTTCCTCGATTGAGACTTCACGAAGTATAGTCCTGGCCCTCGCTACTCTTCTTCCGACGTTGTGTTCTGGATGCATGTTTCTTGGTATAGGAGACACAGTGATATTCTCCCTGATGTTGTCGAGGATATCATTGTAATTGCGTCTGGTTGCCATTGGGAGTTGGCCCAGCTCCTGCAGGATCATTCTCCCCAACCTTGTTGTAGATAACCTTGCAAACTGTGCTCTCTCTTGGGCTTCTGCTATTTCTTCGAGCGTGTTGTGAATGCCAAGCTCAAGCAGACGCTCGGTGCTGGTATGTATGGGTAGGCCCAGGACCTTCTTAATAACTTTTCTGAGGAGCACATTTAGTGTCTCGGACTCTGTTCTTGACCAGTTGTGCATTGCTGCCTCATACGTGAAGTGGCTTAGAACAAACGCATGCATCAACCTGATGAGGTTGTCTTCCTTGATCCTATTTCTTTTGTTGGCCACTCTGCGTATGAGGTGCACCGCACTGTCTGTTTTCCAAGTTAACTTGGCTATAGATTTGCTGTTGGCGCCGCTAGACTCTATCAGCATGCCCAGGACTTTCATGGAGTCGACCCTCTGGATGGCATCCCCTTGATTTGTATGGAGGTGGATGTCTATCTGGTTTAACGGCTTCCATCCCCTGGGCTTCGGTCCCCGGCGTGCAGTCCGATACAGTAAAAGTTCTGACTTACTCGAGGAGCACTTGAGCCCAGAAGGACTAAGGTACTCTTCTACGGTGTCAATCGCCTCTTGCAGGGCGCTCTCAATCTGCCCCTCGCTTCCACCTGTGCACCAGATGGTAATGTCATCTGCGTAGATGCTGTGCTTCAATCCTTCAATGCTCGATAATTTCTTTGACAGTCCAATCATAGCAATGTTGAACAGCATTGGTGAAATCACTGCCCCTTGCGGCGTGCCCCTTGCTTCTAGTTCGATTGCTGCGGTCTCGATATCTGCAATCTTCATCACGGCTTTCCGATCTGTAAGAAAGGACCATACGTAGTCATAGAAGGCTTTCCCTAGACCGAGCTTGGAAATTGCTCCGAGTATGAATGAGTGGTGGATGTTGTCAAACGCTTTTTCTAGATCTAGACACAGAATCGCTCTCACGTCTCTGGTTTCATTGTCGATGACCTGGTATTTGATAAGCTTCAATGCATCTTGTGTGGATAGCTCTGCCCTGAATCCAACCATATTGTGTGTATATATGTCGTTATCTTCCAAGTACTTGTTTACCCTGTGCAGTATGGCATGTTCTGCAACCTTGCCGATACATGATGTCAAGGATATTGGCCTCATGTTGTCCAAGATAGAGGGCTTTCCTGGCTTAGGAATAAGGATCGTCCTGGCTAGCTTCCACTGCTCTGGCACCCTGCCTTCTTTCCATGCTGCATTGATCATATCCTTCAGGGTTTCAATTGAATCGTCATCAAGGTTACGAAGGGCCTTGTTTGATATACCGTCCGGGCCAGGGGCCGACCTGCCGTTGACATCATGCAAGGCTCTTCTGATCTCCTCGATGTTAAAGTCGCCCTCAAGACCTGGATTGGGCCTGCCCTGGTACTGTCTACTTGGTGGTGCCAATCCTCTTTTGATTGGGAGGTACTTATGCACGAGCCGCTGCACAACTTGCTGTTCTGTAGTGCGCCCTATCTCTTTATGCAAAATTCGAGCGATAACATGCTTTTGATTTGTTTTGGTGGTGTTTTCGTTGAGGAGATGCTTTAACATATTCCATGTCTTGCCATTGCGCATGTGACCATCGACGGAGTTGCAGATTTCGTCCCATTGCTGCCTGGATAGTGCGCGACAATGTTCCTCGACTGATCTGTTTACCTCAGCTATCTTCTTCCACAGTCTTCGGTTCAGGCGCTGACCCTTCCAACGGTTCAGTAGTGCTTGCTTTGCCTCAAGAAGCCCTTCTTATCTATCTAACTAAACATATTACACAGAGCATAAAATGTTGGCAGTGTTTTTGACAATCATTAAAATTGCATATAATGCGTGAAACCCACTCTATAATGAGTGAGAAAGTTGTTTAAACTTGACACCTCACCTTTTCTCAAGACACTTGTTGCAATGCCTCCTGCCAAATGCCTCCAAGCTGCTGCTACCAAACATACTGGGAAAAAAAAGCTTACAGTGAGATGCAAACACACTACCTCAAGCAGAAAAAAAAATCAGTATTATATTACGCTTAGATGTACATACATACTGGTGAATATGGCCTCGTTCACTTGAGATCTCCAAATGCCTGTGTTAAAATAGACTGGCAATATGTAATATGTGAACAGACATACATGAAATAATATTTCTGCTTTATTATGGATCCTCTAGCACTTTCATGTCCCTAAAAGCTAAATGTAACAGTAAGCCTGAATGGATCTGTCAGTAGCATGACCATAACTAGGGGGGAGTTGAGGGAGCTCCGACAGCTCCAGAAATTTTTTTGTTTCAACTTTTAGGCTGATACTTAAGTGCTTGCACGCCTTCACATGAACCCCCAGTTGCCAAAATTAGCCGTCCGACACATAAACATGCCCCCCCCCCCCCCCCCCAAAAAAAAAAGAATTCCTGGGTATGGGCCCGGTCAGTAGCACTATGGTGTCATGCACTACTGTTGGTTTAGAAAAGAGTACCTCTATTGTTATATTGAGTGGATTTGGTGCATTGAAGCCTGATACGTCAAATTAGTGTTTTCAGTGACCATAATTTTCTTCGATAAAAAGAAAATCTCTTGTCACTTCACTCTCTCACATTAGCTGGTGCCTCCACAAGCAACTCCACAGGCAAGCCTGCTTTGACAGAAACTTGTAAAATGATTTCTACAAACAAGGGGCCTTTGAGTTATACATTTCGAATTTGTACAGTTAATTGTATTCAGCATTTGTGAAGCCATGATTTGATTTTAAAAAATTTTTGCCAGTGCACAGAGGCGAATTATCTTCCCTACAAAAGAGCGGCTACTTGGGCTGGTTGGTATTGAATTTCGGAATATACTTTTTTAGTGCACAGGGAACGTTTCAGAAAGACGACAGATAGGACAGAGTGCTCTGCGCTCTGTTCTATCTGTCATCTTTTTAAAACGTTCCTTGTGGAATAAGAAAGCGTATTTAAAAAAAAAAACCTCCCCTAGTTATCCCAGGGAGCAGGAACTACTCTTTCCTTTTTGTACCGTTCAAGTCATGTGCTTGATAGAAGTCCAAAGCAGTACTCTAATTGCAAATGGGTGCAAGGCTCACATATGAACATGAATTTACATAGGCAGAAACCAAGAGAAAACCTTCCAACAAAGGAGATCATGCCATGAAACTTGGAAAAACTTGAAATGGTAGCACTCCCAAAGCAATAATCGTCAGTCAATGATTTCCAAGCGCATCTGGTTGTGAAAATAGTCAATCATCGCACGAATGATACGCTTTTTGATATGGATATCACCACAAAGAAGAGCACACATCTCCACAATGTCCATAACTTCAATGTCTGAGAGAGCTCGTTGCACAGCTGTGATAAGCTCGTCCTTTTGGTCATCAGACATGTTGCTGATGATCTCAGCAGCAGACACAAACTTGTCTCGCATCAAGATTGCAGCTGCACAGCCACCAAGTGCCCCACCTGCAAGTGGAAACACATGCACATCACTTACCACTTTCAACACATTTTTTTTTTGTGCTTGCGGCAGGCGAATTCCAGGAAGACTATTCTTGAGACAAATGTTTTACCCTGCATGTTAATAACAGCACAAAAATATTGGGCCAAAGAATATACCAGTAAGATAAAGGTACCAAATTATCAAGAGATAATTTTATTATTTCTGGGTAAGAACTAAGAATGTGGAATTACAATGATCTTTAAATTAAATTTTTTCTAAACTTACGGGTACTTATACATGTGCTGATCAGTGTCTCAAATCCTGGATTGACATTTTGGCTACGATAGTAATTTTCATATTACCACAGCCAGCTATGTGACTGAAAGAAATACAAAAGTGAGTTCTTTTCATGTTGTGCTTCTAGTCAGCATCATATGCGGTAGCTGCACGCATACTGGTTATAATCCTGGTGATTACTAAACATCTAGCAAAAATATTTCAAAATTTTTGCTGTGCTTCTGCGCTCCCCCTCCCAAAATGGAAGTATTTCTAGCTAAGCCAATCAAAGACAGCGAATATCTTTTGTTGGATTATGATATGAACAGAGGACATGGAAAAAGTTAATTGCATTCCTGGATTCCTTTTGAAAGCAAAGTTTGAACAAACAGACCAGTGCAAAATTTTTGCAACTGCACTATTACAAAGTTATTGTAGAGCAAGTCTAATGTGCCACTGTTTCACATACAACAAGAACAATTTTTACATGTTTTGCTGGCAGCCATAGGTGGCTCCAGGTAAAGCTTACATCCAGTGTTTTGTCTGGTGCAACCTAACGATTGCAGCAGCAAACGCTCCCACAGTATATTTCAAAAAGTTGGCTTTTCAGTATTGCACCATGCAACATGGCAAGGTCTTTCAACCTCTGTACGATTAGAAGGTGCTTCATTGGAGTGGAAGAGAATGTGGTGACACATGCATTTGCACTCACGACCGAAGAAAGGTCAGTCATATGACAATACTTAATCTCTTGAAACATCACCAAATGATGTACCACACTTAAAATGTCAAACAGGCATAAAGAGCAATGCTAAATAAGTGACAAAGTGTTTTTTATAAACTCTACCGTTGTTATTAGGTTCATTACTGGAAGAACAACTCAAGGCCAGGAAGCCTTTTAAAAAACTTCATGCTGGTTGGGGAAGAAGCTGCTAGGGGGCCAAGCCACTCAGATGCCTCTCAAATAGGCTCTGACAGTTTTTTATTCTTGCGGCTGACTAAGGACAACCACAGGATTCCAGACCATCACAGTTGTCGCCATACGATCACCTTATTCGTCAGACGCCAGGATATACCAGGTGGGCCTCTTTTTTTGAGCCGTAAGACTTCTTTCAAGTTCCCAAAATGGCATCGCCTTAAGTACACCATCGCAGGGCCTTGAGCGCGCCGTGAAGTAGGCGACAAGTTGGGCCCTCAGCTTGTTCCAAGCCTACGAAATGGATATTGTGAAAACTGAGGGCGAGACGCTGTCTCCTGAAGAGTGCAACGCTCAAGGACGGGTTGTGGCCCATGAATGATGCAACAAGGCAAATGATAAGACAAATGCGGTACTAGCCACAAATGCGAAAGGTGCATCCAAGGAGGCATCTCGGAGACTAAAGAATTTTCTACATCGCGGGCCAGTATCGAAAGGAGCGCAACTGCTGGAAGATGATTACAAGGTAGTAATAAATATGCCCAGGAGGTGGTCTGGGCTTGACGTGACAGTACAGCGCTCATAAGAGCGCAAAAGTACAGCGCGGCAAAAATTCTACGAGCGCAAAATTACAGCCGGACATTGCTGGGGAAGATACTCTAAGAATGAACATGCGACAGAATACCATGATCATGAGCATGCCCAGTCAGGCAAATGCGAAGGACTACAGCAATATCAAGGAAATCAAGGTCCAAGAGAAGAGCTACACCACAGCCGCCTATAAAACAGCACCAGAAAACACATCGAAAGTTGTTCTCCACAGAATACCGACGCCTGATAATCAAGAAGACGTAGAGATCAGCTTGGTCAACCAAAGAAACCTGACGATTTTACATGCGCGATGTATGGGACTCACGGACTCAGTGGTCATTGTTTTTGAAAGGTCTTTTGCGACATGATTAGTGTATTACCGTGATGCGGAATACAGGTGCTTCCTCTACAAAAAGCAATATGAAACATGCACTACTTGTAGAAGAGCTGGACATAGGGCAGATGTTCGGCCACAGCCTGACAGCAAGAAATGTTGTGGTTGTGGGGTTCTCAATCCAACTGAAAATTCACAGTGCGACCCAAAGTGTTGCCTTTGCGGGAAAGATGATCTTACAAGAGACAAGAAATGCAAAGGACAGTTTAAGACCCTGTACCTTTGAAGAAAGATGGTGGGAGAAACTACAACGACAAGGTGATGACCAACAAGAAATGAAGACTTCATCGAATACCAGTGCAACACAGACCACGTCAGAAAGTCCAACGGAGGAGAACGGCAACGCCACCCCGGATGCAGGAGGACGACACAAGGATCGTTCCAGATCCTTCCCGCAACTCCCCGGAGGGGAAAGAGAAAGAACACAAGATGGACCCAGATCAACATTCAGATTGAGGTCTACATCTCAACACAGATCCAGGTCATGGACCAGATCCAAGAAAGAAAAGAGCAACGATTTCACCTCACGGAGAGTCCCACGAGGGTCCTGACGGCGGTCGGGGCAGCGAGCCAATGGTGAGCTGGGCGGGCAAGGTATCCGGTAAGTCTCTCCCATATGGGAGTTTGTCTGAGGCAGAGGCAGAAGGGTCCGCCCTATGTCAAGAGCTAAAGCTTATTAAGAAAATGCTAGAGCAACCCACCCACGAGAACGCAAAACAGAGGGATGAAATAAAACTAAACGAGGAGAATGCTAAGCTCAGGCAAAATCAGCTGTGTGAGTAACTAGCCCCATAGCATAGTCTAGTCGAATTTCAACTCCTGTGCCTGCACAGCAGTACATGCAGCAAAACAACGAGCAGAGGAAATATCTCCTGTAGAAAATGAATACATCTCAAAACCCCTCGAAAAGAAAGTTGAGAATATGGTAGGAGAACTAATCAAGGTAATGCAACAACAATTCGCAGGATTGCAGTTGAAGCTTGGAGAAATAAAACAAAGAATTGATAACACAGAAAATCGACGAACGGTGGTGGAGAACACGCAGACAGATTTGTGGTCTATAGGAACAGGCCCGGTTAAAACTACTACTATACCCTAAAACCAGCCAACTACGATCGAAGTAATCAAAGTCGCCGGGGAAGGAATCGTTCCTAAACATGGCCCGACGTAATCAGTATACAATTTGGCAGTGGAACTGTCGCTATCGCCAGAAACGGGGTAACTTACAACAGTTCCTCAACGGAAAGGAGGCACGAGACGTTATCGGCTTACAGAAAACTGGAGGAATGGCTAAATTGTTGAATAACAAACCTTATGGCACCCCTGACAAAAAAAAAACGTTTGTAACAACCCTCGTGCAAAAAATCTCATGGGTATAGAACATGATACAGAAATTTGCAATGTCGATCATGTTCTTGTTAAGTTAGTTCCATCGCAAAAGAGTGGCGACAGTCTAGTCATATTATAGCAGCCCTAAACAAAAGACCAAACGATCAGCATTACAAACAACCGAGCACTTGTTATAGTAGAGATTTCAATGCATCGCATGCAGCCTGGGGTTATAACAAAGAACAGAATATCAAAGGTAGAAATCTCTGGATTGATGCCCAACAAGAAGGCTTTTCATTATTAACTAACCCCCCCCCCCAACTAGGATTGGAAAGAGCGTATCTAAAGACACCTCTCCTGACCTCACATTTAGTAAGAATATAATCGAACCTTACTGGCTCAACACACAAAAAAAATATGGGCAGTGACCACTATATAATTGAGACAATGTAAGCAGACCCATGTAAGAGAGGAGGCAAAGCATTAAAGATGGTTGAATGCCATAGTTTAAAAAAAATCAGAGAGAAGAAAGAATGTAACATCATTGAAGACTTATATGAATGGCTGGCTAGGAAACTATCATTCATATGTGTGGTTTAACATCCCAAAACCACCATATGATTATGAGAGACGCCATTGTGGAGGGATCCAGAAATTTTGACCACCTGAGGGTTAATGTGCACCCAAATCTGAATACACGGGCCTACAACATTTCCACCTCCATATCGGAAATAGAGGCGCCGCAGCCGGGATTCGATCCCGTGACCTGCGGGTCAGCAGCCGAGTACCTTAGACCACCGCGGCAGGGCGCAGTGGATATTTAGTATGAAACAGAAGACCTATAGCAAACTGCAGTCTAGGTACTCAAATTCACAGCAATATGCACTGCTGTTTGACATAATGCGTCTCTTATGAGAAATATATTGTGACGAAGGAACGCGTTTATTTACAGGAAAATGGTTGAGATCGGTACAGCTAAGAGCCAGAAACCGGCGACCGAGCTGCTCGTGAGCCAGACCGCTTCTCTCTCTTCCTCTTCATGCGCCCATCGAGGTGTGTCATTTCCCCCGTTCGCAGACGATGCCCACTGGGCGAGTCAATAGGAAGGTTGGTGGTGATATGGCTTGAGGCGCGCGACGTGTGTCAGCTGTGTCTTGCTAGAGCGCCGACCATTGCTTGGGACGCCGGAGATGACGTATGTGACGTCACTGAGACGGTCAATGACTACAAATGGTCCGGAGTAGTGGGCCAGAAACTTTTGGCATAAACCACGTTTGCGGACAGGTGTCCACAACCACACCAGGTCACCCTTTGTGTAGGCAACGGAGTGATGGTGGGCGTCGTACCGGGTCTTGGAGCGCTGTTGAGATGCAATGGTTCGAAGGCGTGCGACGCGACGGGCTTCTTCAGCGCGGCATAGTGACTCGGCAACCGATGTTTCCACATCTAACGTAAAAGGCAGAATGGTGTCGAGGCAACTGCGAGGGGAGCGGGCGTAGAGCAGGAAAAAGGGCGCG